AGAAGGCTGGCGGTTCAAACCCACCAGCCACTCCTTGGAAAGAAGGTTGGGCAATCTACTTCTGTAGTGATACTGCCTTGGAAACCCAAGGAAGGGTCGCTATGAGTCAGATCCGACTCAATGGCGGTGCATTGCGTTTTTGTTTGCGTTACGCACTAAGTAAGAATGGGGAGTTCCAATTATCCTAGAACCTACCACTACAGTCTCAGAAAATCTGCCATTCTATTTTAGTTTATCTGTTGCAGTAATCACCCCCAAAGAAGATAGAAATTATTCTCTATAGCATATCTATACAGTTTTTTAAAAAAAAAAAAAAGCAAACTAAAAAATTTCTCCTCTCCTATAAAGAAAAGGAGAAATAAGAAGCAATGTAAAAATTTCCACTAACTTATTATTTCTTCTCCTTGGACAAAAAACTAGATCAGGTCTGTCTGGCTAGACCACAAAGGAGCCCATGTATAGTAAAGTTAGTTTTTAGGACAGTAAAAAAAGAATGTCTTTTGAAGAAACTTCAACAAAGTCTATTTTCCTAAAGAATAATTATCTGGACTTCTCAAATCAATATAATCTAAAGCACTGTCTCTTAAATTTTCATGTGCATACAAATCACAGATAACTTGTTAAAATGCAGATTCTAATTCTGCACATCTGGATTAGGGCCTGAGATTCTGTACTTCCACCATGCTCCCTGGTGATACTAATGTCTGGGAATAGCAAAGGATACTTTCAATAGCAAAGGACTAGATTCTCCCAGTTCCTAAAGTAGTCAGTCTACGGTCTTAAGTGAATCACTTTAGAAAGCTACACTTATTCTTTCAGGTTGTCACAGCAGTATTTAGAACACAGAGGACAACATTTACCAAGTAGTAACACTAGTACTGTAAAGAAGTAGAAAAGAAGCTCACTTGCCAAAAGGAAATAGCTTTGACTTTGGATAAACCCATTATTTTAATCTAGCCAGAAGTTTCATTCTCTCTCTCATACTTACCATCAATACTTAATTATCAACTTGGACAATTAAAAAAAAAGTATGCTGCCAAGCACTTCAGATTTTGTTCCAGAGCAATTTAGGTATTTCAGGTACCAGAGGTAACCTAGAACACCATCTGCAATTTTCACACTCTAGAAGTACAGTATTAAATAAGTTATAGAAGTAGTCCTTTTTAGTTATCTTGGCATAATATGTAAACAAAGATTGATAAAATAGTAAACTTTACCTCAGTGGGTCTGGTAAGCAGAAAAGCGAAAGTTTCCATCTTCACTGAAATAGGCATTGGGCAGGCAGATAAACTGAATAGACTATAGTCCAAAATCAGACCCAAGTGTATATGTAATAACTGTAGCTCTAGTTTCACTCTGCTTAGGCTGAAGTTGCTTTTTAAACATGTCAATAATTTTAAAAACGTCTATCTTGACACATTGTGAAAAATGTAACCAATGTCACTGAATAACGTGTATAGAAATTGTTAAAAGGGAAGCTAATTTGCTGTGTTAATGTTCATCAGAAACATAACAAGAGAGTATAAATATAAAAAAAGCTTCTATCTTCCAAAGAGACAATGAAGGTGTTAAAAGTGCCAATGAATCAAATGGCTGTTTTCCTTTCATTAGATATTCTACAGGCAGTTACATCAAAATCCAAATCAAAACCCACTGCCATCGAGTCAATTCTGACTCATAGTGACCCTATTGGACAGGATAGCACTGCCCCATAAAGTTCCCAAGGCTGTCAATCTTTATGGAAGCAGACTGCTTTCTCTTGCTCCCATACAGCGGGGCTGGTAGGTTCAAACTGCCAGCATTTTAGTTTGTAGCCAGAGCTACTGTGCCACTAGAGCTCCTTATGCTTAAATTAATTAAAAAGGAAGGTTGACTTTCCTGCACCGGAGGCAACAACCAGAAAAGATTCCCAAAATTTCAAGACCTTCAAAACTGGTAGGTTCAGTGTCTCATGTAATATGAAGAACAAATACATAATCTGAAAATGGTCAAAACAATTGTAATTTCTTCAACTTACTCAAATGGTTCAGAAAAAATTATGTGTATCTAGATAAGAGAGAGAATAAAAGAGATAAAGATAAAACAGAGCAAAATATTAATAAACGGGGAATATGAGAGAATTTGATAAAAAGGATTTATCTGTACTTATTATTCTTACAACTTTTCTCTAAGTTTGAAACTGATTATAAATAATTAATTATTAAAAATGTAAGGAATTGAGGGGTTTTTTCCCCCTTTTTTTTTTTTTTTTTGCTTTAATTGTTTAGTGAAGACTTAAACTTCACGTGTTATGTGTCTTTTTATCTTAAGGTGAGAATGATATTGATAAAAAAAAAAAGCTTCCATTTTTCTCATTACCTCCTTTAATTTTTACTGCTGACCTAGGATAAGATGAAGACTAAATGTATGCATCCCCCTTTGACAACCAGTCATACTGAGGCTTGGATCAGCACTGACACTCAGAAAATGGGCAGCCATAATTCTGGTAGCATCTCAAACACTAACTGATCTCTACCAGAACTACAGAATGCAGTCATTTGATATCAATCTTTTAGCCCAATTATGGGTCACCACAGTCCTAGCTCTATCAATTCTACGGTGATATTCTATGTTGACAAGGTTTTTCACCCATTATCATAGCCATTTATGTATTTATTATAAGCCTTACCAGATGCAGGTCACATAACAGGTTCCTGGTAATTAATTACTTGTTGAATAATTGATTCCTGAGGCCCTTGACAACAGTAGATCGAGGTAAAAAAAAATATTAAAGCTTGTGAATATGCTGCATTCATGGTTCCTGAGGTTTCTTGATAGTACTCTGTATGAATTTTCTGGAGTCCCTGGGTGGCACAAATGATTAAGCACAAGGCTACTAACTGAAAGGCTCGTGGTTTGAATCTACCCAGAGGTGGCTCAGAAGAAAGGTCTGGCAATCTACTTCCAAAAAGCCAGTCACTAAAAACCACATGGAAAGTAATTCTACTCTGAAATACGAGGTGACCATGAGTCCAATTTGACTTGACAACTATTCATATGAATATTCTAATGGAGAAATATGTATCTCTTTTCTAGAGCACAAGAATCTTAGTCTTTTGTCATTTCCTAATATTAAGATGAGAATGTAAAATGGTGTAACTGGTTTGAAACCCGGTTTGTTAGTTCCTTAAAATGTTAATCATAGAGTTACCATGCTGTTGTTATTGTCTGGTGCTGTGGAGTTGATTTTCGAATCATAGTGACCCCATGTGACAGAGTAGAACTGCCCTACATTGTTTTTTGGCCTGTATCTAAAGATACCAAATAGCCAGGTCTTTCTCCCACAGAGCTGCTGCTCGGTTTGAAGCACCAACCTTTGGGTTAGCAGTTAGTACTACACCACTGCACCACCAAGGCTCCTTTAGAGGAGTGGCTGGTGGGCTTGAACTGCCAGCCTTCTGGTTAGCAGTCAAATGCCTTAGGCACTATGCCACCAGAGCTCCCTAGAGTTACCATATGGCCCAGCAATCCCATTCCTAGGTATATACTCAAGGAAACTGAAAATATATTTCCACACAAAAACTTGTACATGAATGTTCACAGCAGCATTATTCATAATAGCCCACGAGTGAAAACAATCTAACATCCATCAATTGATGAATGGGTAAACAAAATTGTCCATCTGATACCCAAAGATAGACTCAGAACAAGGGGATAATATTATCTCAGGTAAATATTATCAGATACCATAAAGGATGATAATGAGAAAAACTTTTGGATCAGATGGACAAATACAGCAGACCTGAATGTGTGGTATCTGAGTAACCTCACCCTTAGGACCCTTTGTCTTGCTGAAAGACTAATTGTTAATGACCTTGGGACCAGTAATATGATTGGGAGGGGCAAATTAATCCTTCAGGTGTGAAAGGGCCCATGGCTAGAAGAGCCAGGGGGTACAATGCAATGAATTGCTTGATGTGGCCCTTCTAGCCACTGTCCTCCATTTTGTGATGCATTGTAAATCCTATTATCCATGCCTGTTTAAGTTGGTGTGGTAGTTAAGGTTGGGTGTCAACTTGGCTGAGCCGCTGGTAGTTGTTCCCTATAATGACTTGCAGTTGGCTCTGTGGTGGGATTTGCTGTGAATAAAGAAGTAGCTGCTGATTGTTAAAACCATCCACTTGGATCATTGTTGTCGGAGCAACACAGGTGGAATGTATCTTGAGTCCTGCCTTGCTGGAGGGTATAACTCAAATCACCACCCTTAGCTTCCTTGAGGGTGTACCTATGAATCTCCTGGGAAGGTTC